TAATTTATCATATTATTATTATTAGTATTATTATTGTATTATCATTTAGATGTGATTCGGTCCTGTAAAATCATAATAGAAATTTGGAAAAAAATAAATAGAAATGGAGAAGAGAAGAGAAACAATGGAAGAGGAAGAAGAAAAGAATGAAGAAGAGGAGAGTTTGATTAGATCTCTCTCTATTCTCATATAATGTTTTATTAAACTAATAATAATGGATTAATTACAACCTTGCCCTTAATGGGGTGGCCAACTATTAAACATCATTAAAAGGAACAAAAGAATGGTTAACAGGCCTATGTGGACAGGGCCCATTAACACTAACATAACATATAAGAGAAGAAGAAACAAATTAAAGCACAAGGGCCCATCTGGAAGCAATAAATGGCAAGCAAACTACCCTTGAAGCAACTCTCTCTTGTATAAAATGTTTGTCAACCTCTGTGTTTTGTTCTATCATGCTAGACATGATTATGTGCAATGTTAATAGCTGCTTGGTTGTCACAATATAACATCATTGGCTTCTCAAAGTCGATACTTAATTCTCTCAAAAGGGATCTAAGGCACAATAGTTTTGAAACTCCATGGGCCATTGCCCTGTATTTTGCCTTAGTCGAGGATCTGGCCACTACAGATAGTTTCTTACTCATCCATGAGACAATGTTCAATGCCACCAAAGTACAATATCCTGAGGTAAACCCCCTATCATCAATACATCCAGCCCAGTTTGCATCAATGTATGCTTCTGGTTTCATGTGTCCATGCTTAGCAAAAAGATTGCCCTTTCTTGGAGTGCCTTTCAAGTAACACAAAATCCTCTCAGTCTCAGCAATTGCATGAACTTACTAATGACACTCACTACATAGGAAATATTTGGCTGGGTCATACAAAGATACGACAACTTCCCAGTAGTCTTTGCAACATTCTCATATCAAACAATAGCTCACCATTAGTAGCCAAGAGTTTATGATTCAAATCTATAGGTGTGAAGGCCAGTTTAACACCAAGTTTGCTAGTCTTAGCAAGGAGGCCAACGACATACTTGCGTTGAAAAATGAAGATACCTTCGTTAGACCGAACAACTTCAATTTCCAAAAAAAATATTTGAGTTCCCCTAAGTCTTTGATCTCAAATTCAGAGTTAAGAAACCTTTTAAGGCTAAGCATTACTTGTGTTGTAACCACAATGCCATCCACATAGACATTGAGAAAGGTCACCAAGGAATCCCTCCTCTTGACAAAGAGGATGTGATTAGATTGAGTTTGTGTATATCCAAAAGCAACAAGAGTGGCTTGGACTCTCTTAAACCAAGCCCTAGGAAACTGTTTGAGGCCATACAAAGGCTTCTTCGATTTACACACCTTTCCCTTCATTTCCTTCCCATACACCTTTGTAGGTAAAGACATATAGACCTCTTCGTGCAAATCTCCATTCAAGAAGGCAATTTTAACATCAAATTGATGAAGTGCCCAGTCAAAACTAGCAACCAATGATAACAAAACCTGAACAGATGTCTTTTAGCTACAGGAGCAAAGGTCTCCAAGGAATCAGCACCATACATTTGAGTGTAGCCCTTGCCAACCAAACGAGCCTTAAACCATTCAATAGTACCATCAGAACGATACTTAACAATAAGTACCCATTTACAACTAACCGGTTTCTTCCCCTCGGGCAAATCAACAATTTGATGGGTATTGTTCTTATGCAAAGCATCTAACTTAGTTATCATAGCATCCTTCCGTTCTGGTTTAAATAGGGCTTTTGGGGCAGACATAGGGATTAAATGTGAAGAAACAAAGGCAAGGAAGGAATGGTAAGTCGGGGAAAGAAGGCTGTAGGATAGGTGTTTTCAGATGCAATGGGCTGTACACTTTCGTTTGCCTTTTCTGAGAGCAATAGGAAGGTCAAGATCTGGGAAAGTATTTAAGGGAGTAGTAGGAGGCTGGCCTGGTATCTCATTGGTGATGGGAGGTGCATGGGGCTCATTTGAAGGAGTGGAAACAACTTGCTCATACCTGAGTCTCTATCTTTGATACCACCTTTGAACAATGGGATGAGAGACAAAAGTGGGAGGATGAGTTGGAGGAGTAGGAATATGAGAAGACGACTTAATGGGAGGAGACACAATAGAGTAGGTGAGTCAATAGAGGATTCAGTAGGAATAGGAAGAGGAACAACCGAAGATACTACAAACAACTCCTGTGGATGCTCCCCCTCAAAAGAAATGCTAAAGAAAGGAGTAGACTGCAAATGCGACATCCCTAGATACAAAGTTGGTGCCACACATTGGATCATAGCAACAATATCCCTTCTGTGTGGGGGCATATCCAAGAAAAACACACTTTGAGCTTTAGGTTTAAATTTATTATGTCTTTGGCATATAAATATAAACATAGCAAGTACACCCAAAAATCCGAAGAGGAAGAGAGAAGAGATCTTCATTAGGATAAAGGAGGCTAAAGGGGGTCTTGAAACCCAAAACCCGGGATGGCATACTGTTTATCAAATATGTAGTCGTAAGGACATCATCTCCCCAAAATTTAATAGGAACATGAATAGCAAAGAGGAGGCTCCTGGCAACTTCAACCACATGATGGTTCTTTTTTTTCACCATTCCATTCTGTTGTGGTGTGTAGGAACAAAAATTCTGATGAATAACCCCGGAAGGCATCAAATTAGGAAGAAAGTCTCTTCTCAAAATATTCCTTAGCATTGTCAGAGTGGAATATTTTGATTCGAGTATTAAATTGGGTAAGTATAAGTTCATGAAAGCGTTACACAATGGTCGGGACCTCATCCCAGGACCTTATGAGATAAATCCAAGTTAAACTTGAAAAGTCATCAACAAAAAGGATAAAGTATCTATAACCCCCCATAGCAGATAAATGATATGACCCCCACACATCATAATGCACAATATGAAAATGAAAAATTGACTTTTATTACACAATGAATAGGAATTTTTTCAATGTTTAGCAAGTTCACAAGACTCATAATAAAGACTAGACAAAAATATTCCTTTAAACAATTTTGAAAACAAATGACTCAAAGTAGAAAAAGACAGATGACCAAAACGTAAATGACATAACATGACTCGATCAACAGAGTCTGATGAAACAGAATCCAAAGCTACTCCATGAGGTGGTGCAAGATTTCTGTCAGGTGTATCCGACAAGTAGACTCCATTCGCCTCATGGCCACTCCTAATCGTCCTTTGAGACTTCAGGTCTTGAAAAACACAATGGGTAGGAAAGAATGTTATGCTGCATTTTATGGATTTGGTCAACTACTAGTAGATAAAAGGTTGGTGTTAAGTTTAGGAACATGAAGGACCGATGACAAAACAAAGGAATTAGAGGCTCTGATATCCTCTTTCCTTGAGATGGGAGCAAGAGGTCGATTGGCAAGGGATATTTTTTCATGGCTAGAAAGAAGTTGATATTAACAAAAGAGGTTAAATATGTTGCCATGCTGGTCATGTGGTTTGAAGCACTAGAATCTATAATCCATGGGATTTTACAATTACCTGATATAATAACATGATTTGCAGATGCATGAATACCTGAGTGAGCAAAGGCGGATGAAGAGGTGTTGCTTGAGGAGTTGGATGCTACAATTGTAGTTTGCAAATGGTTAATGAGTCTTCCATACCTTTCAAATTATGCCTTTACTGTTGTCAACTGCTTCATAGTAGACTTCTTACTTTCTTTGTTTGTACCTTTTGGTACTGTAGGTACATTTGCATTTTTAGGCTTCCCAACTTGACCATTCTTCTTACTAGTGTTGTTTTTCCGAAACCGTTCTGGAAGAAGATTTGGATGTAAGTATGTAACTTCCAACAAGTATCCTTGGTGTGTTTTGACTTCCAGTAGTACCCACACATTACTTCCTTCTTCTTAGTAGGTACCTTTGGCTTCAACCCTGCATGTGCAAAATATTTTGGGAGTGGCGGTCCTTGTAGTTGTACTTGCCTCCTACTCTCTTCACTGCTAACCATGGAATATGCTTGAACAAGTGTGACTTCATCCTTAGCTAGAATATTCTGTTTGCTAATATCGAACTCAGGGTTGAGTCCAGTGAGAAACTCAAGCACCTTGTTCCTCTCTACCAACTTTTTGTAAGTTTTTGCATCCTTGGTGTTATCCCACACAACTGTTTCCATCATGTCAATTTCCTACCAAAGGGACTTCAACATAGAGTAACACATTAACATTACTACACATTTCTCTCCCTATCTCAGATTGTTCACATCATTCTTCAACATTTTTGGCAACATTCAATTTTTGTGAATATGTTTTTGTAACACTATCCTAAATCTCCTTGGTTGAAATCATCTAGAGATAATGTTGGTTGATGTGAGGCTGCATTGAGTTGACTAACCATCTGATCACGACATAGTTTTCCTGCATCCATCTCTCATATGTGGGATCCATCTCTACTGGTTTCTCCTTACTAATTGTAAGATATCCCAATTTCCCTCCACTACAAACATAAATCCTATGGATTGTGGTCAGGCCAAATAATTTGTTCCATCCAACTTAATTGTGGTCACAACACAGTACGGAATCTGTTGAACCAACCCCAAATTCTGGGTTTTGCTTCATCTCACTTCGAAACTATTCCATTAATCAAATGAAAATAAAAACAGTATTCCACCGGCTATGCATTTTACTTGCAACTATGCCATTGATTATTTATAGACTGTACATCTCATGGCTTATGGAACTCCAGGTATAAGTGTATAATAAAATGTACCTGTTGTGCTAAGGGCTATTACACTTTGGGGCCAAGTCCTTCAATAAGTTCAATGGATCATAGTTCTATGTGGTGCCTTTGTTCCTACCTTTTTTTTTTTTATATTCTCATTCTTCTATTTTTTGGTTGACATGGGAATTTTGCCTTTTTATAATCTATTAAGCAATCTGTTATGTCCATGGTCCAAGAGGGTGCACATTGTACTGATAGCTTTGTCCGACGTGGTTATTTTGGCCTTTTACCAGATATTGCACCAGTTTATGAAGGTGCAGTTCAGCACATTGCTTCAAAAAGATTTGAGATTGGGGGTATTGATTTGACAAACTTAATGGCTCAGGAACTCCACAAATCCAATCCAATGGTAAATATCAGCATCTCTGATGTCGAGAGATTGAAAGAACAGTATGCATGCTGTGCCGAAGATCAAGCTGCTTATGGGGAGACTGAGAAATCATGCCAGGAAGAGCAGCATACTCTTCCTGACGGCCAGGTTTGATGCTACAAGAGACTATAATTCTCATTGCAAAATAAAGCTAAATTAGACTATAATTCTTTTTTTGTCAGTAATAGTAAATTTTATTAAAACAGATGTGTAAAGGACAACACTGTTCTCCAAGAACCTTGAGAGAGTAGGAAGAAAAACAACAAACACCTTAGTTGTGACAGGCTGGCAGCACCATAAAGAATTAATATATGATAATTACAAAACTTCCCTAGGCCCTGTCATTCTTCTTTCTAGCTCTAGACATCATGGTTTAATGTATCGATGCAGTATGATACGCCAGATAGGGCATATCGGACTTTTAAATAACGTGTTTTTATTTATTTTTAGTTTTTTAAACATGTTCAGGGGAGTTGTTATAAGGCCTGCCTACCCCTTGAAACTGGTCATACTCATACCCTGAAACTCCTTGTATTTTGCGTATCGTTGGGTCACCAATACGGTACCTATGGGCCAATATGTTGTGAAATTTTGATCCGTGCTAGAAACCCTACTAAATGAGCCGTTGAGTTTGGAACATAGTTACATCTCCTTTTCATATCTTAAATATATCCAACACATCAGTATCTTGTTCATCTCCTTTTTAGATGCTGCATATAGTTAATGGCTATAATTAAATTTAGTGGTGGCAAATTCTGGCTCAGGTCAGATGGAGCCCGGATTGTGGAGGGCTTTAAGTCTTTGCTTAGATATTTGTCCAAATTTCCTGGTTGTGTGGGGCCTGGGTCATAGGTTTGGCTATTTGAACCTGAGCTTTTCCTGGTCTTTATGGTTTATACATATGCAATATATAGACATGTTTTTTTTATCTAAATATATAATGCAGCCATAAATAGGACTGTTCCATGGTACCTGTTATTTCTCCTAGATAATAAAGTAAGAAAAAAAAGAAGCGAGAAAGGGAGGAGAAAGAAAAAGGTATGAGCGAAAAGTGAGTAGAGCAGCACCCACTATGTCTTATTAAGAGAGTACTTTAAGCATAACAGTAAAGTGACTAAAATATCCTTGATAGGAACTTGGGTCAGCACAACAGCTCCCGATCAGCACCCACGGCCCAAGTCTAGGATCCCCAAGCATCAGATACAAAAGACAACAGTTCCGAGGGAGTGTCTCATGTAGTTCAGCCCATCAATATACACTAGGAGGCCATGCTAGAATAACTAACTCGGCCTCCCCATGTGCTTGGAGTTGGTGTGACAGGAACCTATTATGATGAAATATAAATAGCTTATGAGAACCCCAAGGATCGACAAGAAATATCTGAATTACCTTTTCCCTAATTCTCGTCTCCATTCTTCTTCTTCTCTTGTATTCATTCCAGGAGGTAGAACTCCCTCGAAGAAGCTCCTCTATTTTTGAAGTTTATCAACTGGCATCAGAGCCACGATCCAGGATGCCCAACACCAGAGTTAGCTCCTTGGATGAAAAAATTGATTGGCTAGAAGTTCAACTTAACAAGCTGGATGGGGATTTGAAGGAGATGAGGATACTCTCTTTGTGTTCGTCTATCAGTTCGACAAAAGCTCCATATGATCGAACAAAGAAGGTGAGCAAGATGGTTCCAGTGGGGATAGCCATCGGCAATGGGAACTCCTTCTAGTATGATCATGAAGAACAACTTCCCAATCTTCTTAGGTGAGGACTTTGTACCTTGGATTAATAGAACCAAACGATATTTTGAATATCATGGAACCCCTGCTTCTTAGAGGCTCTAGCTTGACTCGATTCACTTGGATGGAAAAGTCAACGTTTGGTCCTAATGGTACTGGTGTCTCATCCTCAACTTGCTTGGCTTGATTTCATTAGCCCTCAATGTACGCTTTGGCCCTTCTGGAATTGGAGATTTCAATGAATCCCTTGCTAGAAAAATCATATTTTTCAAGGATCAATCTTGAACCTAGAACCGAACCAAATCTGAACAGAAGCATTAGGAGAGGGATATACCTGATACGGAGAAATAATATCTCCCAACGAAGGTGTTCACGCCCAAGGAAGGATCCAAAGACTGCTTCCACTGAAGATGGCACAGTGCAGGATGGAGCAGAATCAGCAGTGTTCTTCCCAAGAACCTAATCCTTCGCAAGAATTAGCAGGATGACACGTGAGCACAGCTTCCTATCAGTCCCTTCACAAGAAACTGATATCAAGATCCAATCTTGATTTCTCCCATTGAACTGGAGATCGAACTGGCAGGTGTGGCGGCGGTAGGAAGGAGGCGGCAAGAGAGAATTTTCGTAGATGTGCTGAATTTTCTCTTCTGTGATTTCAGCTCTGAAGACAAGTTGTGATCTCTTATCTTAAGGCTGCCGCCCCCTCCTTTTATAGACTTAAAGGGATCAGCTCCTAATCCCATTAGGAGTTGCTGATCCAAATCATATTTGGATTAGAAGTCCCTTTAAGTGATAAGGGTAAATTGGATCAGCCTTTTTCCTAATCCTATTAAGAAAAATCAGCTAACCTAATCTCAGAATTCGCCCATCTTTTATATGATCAAATCGGCCCAGTTCGAAATGGGCTTTAGGCCCATTAAGGACATGTGCTCACTTAGCCTTCCAAACTGCTGCCCAGTTGGGCTTCCTTGTATGGCGTGGGACCCAAACATTGATCTACACATCAGCCACATGGGTTTAGCCCAGCGTTTGTTACAAGGCTTGGCCAAATACGCTGTTATG